ACAGCTTGGGCCGATACATGGCATCTGCGAGAGTGACACGAACCAGTCTCTCCAGTTCCCGAACATTGGGTCGCGGCAGTGACGCCAATTCCTCTGAATGATCCCACCAGTTGATGGCCAGGATGTATATGGCAGCAAGGAGCGGCGGCGAAAATTCTCGATGTGATCGGTCGTATTTTTCATAAAAGACCGATTTTTGGACAATGGGAAATCCGGGATGTACGATACGAAAGTACAGGTCGATCAGCTTTCGGCCATGCGGGGCGACGAGACTTTCGATTTCGTCGACATCTTCGATTATATGGGCGTGTCCAGGCGTGAGTGAATCCGGGAGCATGAGAAAAGTATCCTCGTCGCCGACCTTCCTTAGAGTCCCTCGGGCGAGGAGACTCTCATCATGTGGGTCAAAAGGGGAGAGGTTGATGAGCGAGGGCTCAAAGTCAGTCGTCGGCCCTATGTACTGACTATACCTGTCTGACTGAAGACCGAGGGTACGCTTTAGCAAGGTTGGGCCGCCAAAGTTCGCCATCTCCTCGATTAGGGACATGCCGGTAGTAACGGTGCTCGATAGGCTTGGTGGGTTCTGCCTTCGTTTCCTATTATCAAACCGTGCTGGGGAACTGCTAACAACCAATCAGATATCAGAACACGCACATGAACGATTGTCTCAAGCTGAGATGGGGTTATGGGGTTTGTGAGATAAGCTGGGGAAACTCGAAGAGCGCGGAAGGTGGTGGGAAGGAAGTAAGAGCATGACACGAGGCAGACACGTGAGGTTGGCTCCCGCCGTCCATGGATGATGCCATGTGTGATGAAGGAGGTGTGTAGGTAAGTTATCATTCGCACCTTCTTTTACTGCCACTCTCCTCTGCATCACCGTTCAACTTGCGTTTCCGTGGCGGAGGGCTCTCGCCCAACGAACATTCTGCACCATTCGTCTGGCAAGCAACACAGCTCTCTTCGTCATCACTCATGACGCACTCAAGCCTACGGCGTAGACAAGCTTCACAGGGACTTGTTGGTTGTCCGCTTAGAGAGTCTGTGTCCGGGGTGTTGATGCCGCTTCGGAAACCGGAGAAGGAGTCGCTGTAGTTGATGCTTGCTTGTCGACTGGGAGGAAAGCGTGGGGGAGGTTTGGGCGCAATGGCAATAGGAGCCGTCCTTGGGACGGCACTGGGAACGGACATGATAACGTTTTGGGGGCTGCACAGACGATCGATCGCGGCCGGATTTACCCTAAATGTTGTCCCAGATGAAGTCCTATCCCGAGTATTGGACGACGATGAGCTATGGTACCGGTAGGTTGGACAAAGCTACTTTCCTATTCAAAATCTGCTCTGTGATCAGGCCAGGAGCAGTTGCCGCAGGTGACTGGGGGACTGATGCTGTGGCCAAGTATTTCTGAAGTCGTATGCGGGTAACGCTGCCACCCCCAACCAAGAAGAGGCAGGAGGAAGATATGGACAAGTCCAAGTGGTTGATACAGCTTACTGAATGGTCAGCCCCACGGGGAGGTGGGTGAGGTAGTGGCGTGCGCCCCCGTGTGGAACCAGAACAGAATGGTGTCTTCGAGACTCTGGGGACGAGGAGGCGACAGGGTCCACGGGCAATCGAACGCCCCCGGGATGATTCTGGGAGTTCGGAATCTTTTCAAGGACGTTAGCGTTCCCCGGATTGAGCCCTGACAGGAGGACCCGCGAGAAACACTGCAGGTGGATGGGCCGGCCTGGATGGATCGAAAGACTGGTTACGTTTGGGGGTACTTGTCGCTTGTCTCCGAGGGTTGATAAGCAAGAGCGAACCGCAGATAAGGTTGATGCTCGTTGACGGCACAACTGCGGACAGATTATTTGAGGCTCAGGAGGTTGAATCCCTGCCACAAGTCCCCAGGATAACCGATGGGGTGAAACGCACACCTGGTCGTCGACTGCCTGGCCACTGTCGTCTGTCTGTCTGTCTGTTTGTTCACCTGCCTTTGCGGCAACACAACAGGGACTCCGTGTGTTTTGCACGGCTGGCAGCAGCAGGAGAATGATGACCGGAGAGGAAGGAGAAGCAACCTTATCGCTCTCTTGACACCAACTCGTATCTCCTTGCCAGATTGAGTGACCTTACGCGACAACGAAAGGCGGAAGAAACCTGGTGTTGAGGGGAAAGCCAGAGATAAGGTAGGTAGAGGGTGGTAGCAGGTAGTACGTGAGGTATCTTTCTGTGTATATGATATGATGTGTATGTATTGATGATAAATAGAGCCCTCCCTGCCACGGAAAGAGGAAGCGTGTAAGCGGTAGCGTATGCGGATAATCTGCCAGGTCGCGCCCCGGATTGGGGAGGTATGAAGCAAGACGTGTAAGGGCCTAGCCACCGTACTGTGTGTATACGGGTCGCTATTGGGTAGTCTGGCTACCTATGATGGATGCGTATTGGTGAATGGACTTATAATAAATGTCGGCTGGGAGTTGTTTTAACTCGGACTGTCCTATGTGATGATCGAGACCAGGATAAGATGAGCTAGGCTTATCTGCGTCATTTGCGAGGATGACATGAAAGCACAGAACCAGGGATTCGGCTCGAGCTTTCGAGGTGTGGGAGTGGTTTGGTTTATCCTTTTTGTTTCTCTGTCTTTGTTCCGTACAACATGGAGATGGTGTTCAAAAGGGAGTGTGACGATTGAGACAAGAAGTACACCGAGATCATCGATCATCAATACCAGGAGAATTCCGAGCAGGAGATCAACTGCACTCAGGATAGATTATAAACTGGCACGCGCCTCCTTGTGAGGAAGAGCAATGCCGTGTCGAGCCCCAAAAAAAATCTGATGCGTGTGGGTGAGAATTTGGGAAACACCAGCTGTGGCACATTCATCAACCAACTTTGGATACCTTGGCGCTAGATTGGCGAGTGTAAAAGACAGTTCCATGTTGTCCACCGCAACTGGACCCTTGAGGCCGATAAGGAAATACGTGGTGCAAGGGGCAACAATTGCTTGCCTTTGGGGACGATTGCCCCATGATGTGCCGTTCCCCCTTAACTTTGGAGGTCAGGTCGGGGACTAGTATGGGGTTATCTCGGAGCGGACAACGATAATGACGGCGACAAAGTGGTGCCCATCTGTCCTGCCTGAGAATAGTGTCGTGCCGTCAGAAGCATGGCGCGGTTGAGTTGCTGCAGAGACGGCCAGACATATGCGTCGGATATCACATTGTCAGGCCTTATCATCTTTTCCGATTAAAGAACAAAATTCCTAATGGGAAAAAGACGATAACGCTTCATTGATCGACCTAAAATTCGTGAGTCTGGGGTACCTGCCGAGAGCGGGGTGGACATGGGGGTGGGGCACATGGCAATAACAGTTGAGTACTTGTAGCTATACCGAAGACTGTTAAGATGGCCGGCAGCAATTGGCCAGGAGGAGAGAGAGCCCGAGGTATCCGGTACTCTTTGTTGGTGTCGCGTGCGGGCTTGTTGGACCTTGGGCTGCCGGGATCGCAAGCCATGGCACCGGTTGCCGTGGATAAAGCCCCCCGGTCATTACCAAATCAAAAAGGCGCGTTCCCGGCACCCGAACCTCTTTTGGGAATACATTTAACGTAATGGCCTGACGCGCCGAGACATGGCAGTTGAAGGCTAAGTCTTTCAGATGTCTGTCGGTCTGTTCCTGCCTGTTGTTTGATCTTGCCGTCTTGATGGTGCGAGGGCATAAGCTCTAGGTACACTACTGCGTAGGATTTGGTGTTTCATCGCCGAGTGTCGGGTAGGGTCATTTTGGTGATGTTATAAAGGCTTGTGAATGGTTCAACCTGGATGACTTTGCATCGTGTGTCGTTGCCAAGCGATCAGAGCGGAAAGCGCGGCACCTATCACCGGACAGTGAAAGCGTGCCCAAGCCGGCCAATTCAGAAATGCCGGACTGGCTGTGCGGCCTCGGAACGATCTCCCACAAGAGGCAGCTTGGCATTGAGTCCACAAGCCGGGAATTTATCGTGGAAGACGGTGAATCTGTTTTATACAGAGCAGGCGATGGAACGTCAATGTCCGATGAAAGGAGGAAAAAGTCCCATTGCCAGTCAACTCATGACATCAAGCTTCGCCGTGCGCAAGCTGAGGTTCCAATGCTGGCGTCAGGGCGCTCTCACCCGTCGTCTCGACTCACGATGGCGGATAGAGACGACCCCACAGTGGGGTCCAGCTGAAAGTCTGGAGTTCCCCGTCCCCTCGTGTTCCGTTTCAGCTTCGATTCCATGTCAGGGTCATGAGCATGTGAGATGTCGTGTGATTGAACTTTCTGGGAAGGGGCAGAGCACGAGACAAGCTGCTGGAGTTGTTTGATGACCGACGGCGCAGAAGTGCAAGTGTTATTCCAAGCGGTCGGGATTATGGCTGATGACTCGGACCCCCCCACATCTTTGGTGGTGTGGCTTGGTGTGCTTGTGTGCATTGTCAAGAGGTTGAGTGGCGGTGCAGGCTCTTTCTCGTCTTCTCTGCAGACTGCAAGACAATCGCCAAGCTCGCGTGCCCAGAACCCGGATCGATGACAGAGGCCCCCGAATGGAGGGTTTTCAGTTGACATATGCCGCTTGCATCGGTGGACGCGGGGGTATCTTCAAGAAGGCGGGGGGACTGGAAAAGGGCGTGACGGTGTGCCCGAAGTGCCGAGAGCCCTGGGACCGGGTTGGGGTTAATATCATATCGCGAGTATCAACAGCAGCAAGTGATGCAAGTGAGAAAGCCGAGGCTTGTACGGTACCGTTCGTTGCGGTGTCTTGGAACTCTGGCGGTTCTCTGAAGCCTAGAATAGGCTCGCTAGAGATGATTGTATGATTTGACATGCAAGTTGTCGGAGAGCGTGTCTTGATTAGTGGTGATTTGCGGGCAGCTTGCGAAGGAGGTTCGAGTCGAGGGAATAAAAAACTGGCATATGGCGGTTGAGACCAGGTTACACAGGCAGGAAGGCGATGAAAGAAAACTCTGACGAACAGGCAGGCACTTGCGACGCACAATTACAATACTGTTTTCACTCGGTACTTACGTAGTCGCGACTGCGACTCTTGAGCCTCAGTCGCCGGTTGGTTGACATTGACCGCTCCTTCCGCCGTTGATGCACACTTGCCAGTTCATGGAAAAAAAGACGACCTGCGTTCACTTCCAGTGCAACTGCCCTGAAGTATGAGAGCCTCAACCGTTGGATCTTTCCACCTAATGCAGTGTTGCTAGAAGACGCACCAGTCAGAAGACTATCGAAAATTGCAAAGGGCTTCTACTTCTGAAATCCCAATCTTCGTCGCCCCCTTCGGATAGTAAACCATACAAACCTCTCTATATGTCGTCTTCTCTCCCTCAGCTTTGCCCTCGTCCTCTCCCGAGATCATCCCCAGGGCAGGTATCTCCATCTCAAACCCATCCACAGCCTCAAACCCCAGCCTCTCATACATGGGAGCTGCCTCAATCGTACTCTCCAAATACACCGGCAGCGGTCCATGTGCATCCAGTGCATCTTCCACCAATTCAAGCAACCGTCTTGTCAGCAGAGATCCGGCTCCACGGCCTTGGTACTTGGGGTCGATGCATACAAATGTGAGATCTGGCAGGTGGCCAAAAGAAAAGATGAAACGCGTTAGTATTGTAATAGGTAGTATACGACGTCGGTGATGTATAAGAGAACATGGATGGGGTAGGTAACAAAGGCAAACTTACGCCAACATCTTTTCTTCATAAACCCACTCTTCTCTTTAGCCTCCGATGCCAACCGCGCGTACTCCTCTAGATATTCCCTCCTGCATCCTGCAAGGTATTTGATTTCTCCCTCTTCCAACTTCTTCTTTTTGTCCTCGTCACTCTTCCCCTTCCCTCTGTCAACATTTGGAGGAGGATACTCCCACCGAATGAACCCGGCAATCTCGTCCTCACCTTCAAGCCTGGCCACCCAGATGCCTTCATCGCGGTGGGCCCATGTTTGAAGTGGACCAGTCTTTTGCTGAGTGTCTCTGGCAAGAAAGCATTCGAGGGCGTCTTGGCTTTTGCGTGTGGGAAATTGGGCGTGGAGGAGCGGGTTGGTTTGCATGGCGAGGAGGTGGATTTGGGCTATGCGGGCTGCTTCCAAGGAGGCCGAGGCCTCGGAGGGGTGGGAAATGGTGAATTTGGGTCTGGTGGGCATCGTGATGGTTGTGGTTCTGGTAGAAGAGCTGATGGTGGTTGGTGGGGGGTGGAAAAGACAGGACAAGATAGATCGCTGAACGCAAAGTAAAACAAGATACGAGATCATGTGACGCAGTTAGTATCCAAACCTCCATTTATCATAACTGCTCATACTGCTGATACCGCTGCTGCTGCTGCTGCGGTTGGTGTTCTTGACTCCCTATCCCAGACTCATCACTCCCCGCTCTTGCCTCCCTTTCATCCGCCTCATTTAACAGCCTACACGGCGTCTCTATCCACTCTGACCACTCCGGCCCCAAGCTCGCCATATACCTCGCCAAGCTATCCAGCAAGAACCTCCCCGAATCGCCCGCTATCCACGCCTTTCGACACAGATGTAGACAAACAAAGTAATACGCCAGAACCGCCAACACCTCCGGCTTCCCTTCTTCCAACATGCCCATGACCGGCTTCGTCAACATGGTACCCCACGCCAACATCATCTGCACCTGTGTGACCCGACTCGACATGGCATCGAAGATGAACTGCACACGATGCACCGCCTGTCTCAGCCCATGCAACCTCTCCTTATCATCATCATTTTCTTGGGAAAACCTCGACTCCAGCCGACGCAGGATCTCATCGCACTCGGGCCCCGAGCCGCGCGTGTCGTACAGGCGAATGCCCGCCTCGATAATCGGCTTCAGCTCACTCTGCCTCATCTCGTCCATGTGTCCCTCCAAGACCCCGTAGATACCGCGGTGCAGGTGCAAATAACCCACAAAACGGGTCAGCGTAGCAGGGAACTCGGCGTCTCGATAGCTCAAGGTGTCGCAGAGGGCATGGACACCCAAAATGGAAGAAAACAGAAAGAGCGGAACGCGCTTCTCGATGCACGCGTCAAAGTGCGCCATGTCGATGCTGTTGAACAAGGTCAGGGCGTGCGTCTGCAGCTGGATGGCGTGGTGGTGGTAAAAGGCCTCGCGGTGCGGGCGCAGGACGGATAGGTGGCGGGCCGAGAGGGCCAGGATCTGGTACATGAGGTACGGCTCGCTGAAGGCGTGATTCATGGTGAGCGAGCGGGCCGTGTCTCCGAAGGGAGCAAAGGTGAAGAAGACGTCAGTGGTGAAGTGGTAGAGGAGCTCCATGTGCACCATGTTGACGTTGGGCGATGGCGGTTCCGAGTCTTGGTAGCCCGTGGGGACTGGAAAGGGAGTGACGTCCGGCATGGGCATGGTGGATGCGGAACCACCATAGCCACCGGAGAAAGAGGCTACCGAGGCCGAGGCGGACCCGGCGCCGGAGGAGGGTGGGGTTGCGGCGACCGAAAGGTGATCGGCCGGGGATCGGGACAGTTCATCGCTGCCAGTGTCGGTCCCGGGCAGAATGGGGTAAGAACATTCTCTCTCAACGGTTTGGCAGTTGATGCATCGCGGTCGTGTTTCGTCGCACTGTCGACGAGTGTTAATTCACTGTGTGACTACCTATTCTTGAGTTTTGTAGGCGGGCTACTCACCTTGATATGCCGTCTTTTGCACTCGAGACACCCTTTTCGGGACTTCCGATGACTTCTCCGCATCATGGGTTAAAGTGAGGGATGGGTAGTGTAAGTTAGGCTACTAAAACGGTAGGCTGCTGGGCGGCAAGGGGCTGCTACGTGTAAGACGCTGTACAGAATATTGCCGAAACATCAAGTTCCCTGTCAGTCTCGACAAGTCAGATTCGGGTGGCAAACCGAGAATGACATGCACAAAATGATTGAACTTTATCGTTGTCTCAAGTCGGGAGGACTCCAATGCTCCATGTTTGGCATTTATTGGACGAGTTTCAGAGCGTCTGGGGGACGCGTATTCATGATTACTTTGATTGCGTGTCAACAAAGGGCGCAGCTGTTGGAGCGCCCTGGGTCCGTGAGCAGCAGCCACACCGTGACTGATTAACTGTAGCGTAGGGTTAATAGCGAAGTGAGCCTCCACCGCTAAGAATCCAAGACAGATCCATTTCTCCGCTAAGCCCTGCCCACGGTGTCCGGTTTGGTACCGAACCCGAGGTTGACCCGTCCCAAGCCAAAAGCTCAGCCCCGATCTTGACTAAAAATACGACGCCTTCATCTCCCTGTTTCTATAAATCGTATGAAACATCCACGTGTTCCTGGCGTGCTACTGAGTATCAGGGGGTGGCAGATCCCACGGTCGAGCAGCTGAGGCTAAGGCACCTTTGTTGTTGTTGCGCTTCCTAAGGCTTCTTCTCCTGGCGGACGCGGGACCGGCGGTGGTGATAGGTCCGGGACCGACGAACCGTAGCACCCAATCCCACACTGTCCGCGTCTTGTCCAGCTGGAGATGCGTCGTTCTCGCCACGGATAAGTCCGAAGGGGCATAATAACCGCCGACATCTGTTGCATCGAGCCTTGCTCGGAAAAGCAGGTGGACTTTGGTCAGACCCTTGCGCAAACTGGAGCCGTAGACCTTTTTGTTGAAGACGTTCAAGGCGACGTTTTGAACGAGGACCACATCCCTATGCCGCAGTCCTTCAAGCATGCTGCCCTGTACGGTTTCGCAGCCAGGGGGTAGCCAGAAAGTGATGGTGAAGCCAGCTTTGGTCTCGTCACCCACGAGCACCTCGACCAGGGAGCGGTCTAAGCCCCAGCGAGTGCTAACCGACCGTGGCGGAGAGATGGAAATGATGCCGACGATCAGATTGCAGGTGATGGTCTGGGGTTGTGCCTTGACAAGGTAAGCGGCCGATGGGATATCCTTGAGGTCAGTAAGGCGGTCACCGCCACGGAATGTCAAGGGCTCTTTGACGTTCTCATCCCCATCCACAGCATGAACTGTGGTCTCCAAGAATGAAGCCGTATCCAGATCCTCCTCACTCATTGCCGACGTAATGGAGTGTTGCGACTCTGCTTCTCTAAGCAATGTAGCGTCCAGGTACGAGGATCGGACATGTTGATGCAACGTAAGGGAATGCTCGTAGAACTGGGACTCCAAGTCGCCATGGACGACGGACGATTCATCAAATGACGACGATATGGACGCGGTAGTGAGAAAGTCATCGGGCTGATCGACTGCTTCCGGACCGTGAGCTGGGTTGAAGCGGAAGCTGGAGTCATATTGTTGTGTGTAGCCGGTTGGGATACGTTCTCTTACGAGGCTAAGAGATCTCCATGCGGCAGGGGTCGGAGCAGAGGCCGGGATGATGGTCTGCTCTTCCCGTGGTTGGAGGATGCCCATGAAGCTGGCAATGGGCTCATCGAATTCGACAAGTAGATTCGGGGTGGCCCAGTCAAGCGCCCGGCTGTCTGGAGCTCCAGTGAATATCAGCACTTTGGAAGCCATTCATGCTTGTGACAGTTATCATCGAGTTGTCGTAGGTCGTTAGGTTGTAAACGAAGGGGAAGAAGAAAATGCGGGGTCCCGGCCTGGCCAAGTGGAAGTCCAGTGAAAGTGCTGCCGGCCGGACCCCACCACATACCCGAACGGCACGGACTTCTCCAAGTAACTGCTCCAGGCCCGGAAGTGGTGCCCCGACTCCGATCTCACGGCTGGCATCTCTCCCACTTCATCATCAAACAATACCTTTTGCCAATCAACACAACTTCTGCAATTGATCCATGGACTACCTTCGTTGATTTTCCTTTGTGAGACACAGAAACTCACGTGAAATCACGTGTCAGCATGTCGGAAGTCGATGAAACAAACAACCCAATCGGACAGGGGCCGGAAAGGCTCCACAAAATAATGGCGTCGAACGGGACCCCTTTCAGACCGACGACACGTAGGTACCGTGACAGCAACTCATCTCTCTGTCGCAACTCTTTTCCTGTGTCCGTCATTGTAGCCAGCAAGTCTGTCAAGCAAATCACAATATCCGACTAAACATGGCCCCGGCACCATGGGATTCAGTCCCTCCTGAGGACACCCTCTTTGCGTTGGTAACTGGCGCCAACAGGTAAGTAATCATCATCTGTCTACCTTTCTGTCCATGCTTCATAGAGATGACATGCTAAACAATGCAATTTCAGTGGAATCGGCTTCGCTATCTGCCAACGCCTGATCGACGAGTATCTCGTGACGCGCTCCCTGTCCTCCCACCTCGTCGTCATCCCCACCACCCGCAGCGTCAAGAAGTCGCAAGAAACCATTGATGCGCTCCGACAACATGCCCGCGAATTCGCAACCACCTCCGACATCCTCCGCTCCCGTGCCGGTCCCAACTACGATCCCCGATCTATTACTAAGCGCATTCACATTCTCAGCGTCCAACTAGACTTGTGCAATCTCGCCGACGTCCACCGCGCCGCCGAACAACTCGTCAACGGCACCGTGAGCAGCCCCGCCGACGCCAACGATGCCTACTTCACCTCCCTCACCGACGTGAGGATACCCCGTCTCGATGCCGTCATCTTCAACGCCGGCATGGGCGGCTGGACCGGTCTCGACTGGCCCAAGGTCTTCCACAACATCTTTACCAAGGGTCTCGTCCAAGCCACCACCTGGCCGACCTTCAAGGCCGCCACGGCCGGACACGTCGTCAACCCCTTGCCCGACACAAAAGACCAGAAGGTTCCCGAAATGGGCCAAGTCTTTTGCGCCAACGTCTTCGGCCACTACCTGTTGGCACACAAGCTCGTGCCGCTGCTGAGCCGCTCCGAGTCTGACTCTACCATTCCTCCCGGCCGTATCATCTGGGAATCCTCCATCGAGCCCGGGTGGAATAACCTCTCGCTCTCCGACTTCCAAGCCATCAAGACCAACGCCGCCTACGAGAGCACCAAGCGGCTGACGGACGTGCTCTCTCTGACCGCCACCTTGCCCTCCGCCCGCCCGTTTGTCAACTCGTATCTTCAGCCGGCCACCAAGTCAAACGCACCAGCTGCCCCACCCAGAATCTACCTCGTCCACCCGGGCATCGTCCAAACGACCCTCTTCCCGCTGAACGCCTTCATGTTCTTCTGGTACCGCGTGGTGCTGTACATTGCGCGGTGGCTCGGCTCCCCCTGGCATCCTATAACGGGCTACAACGGTGCCGTGGCGCCCGTATGGCTTACTTTGCAGGAGCAAGAGGCTTTGGATGCGGTGGACGCTGAGCACGTCAAGTGGGGATCGAGCACAGATTTCTGGGGGGAGTGCAGAGTCCTGAAGACGGAGGTGGAAGGGTGGGGGTGGGATGGGACGGTTGGAACGAGGAAGGAGCTAAAGAATGAGAAGGGGGAGAGGCGCATTGGGAGGAAGATTGTGGGGAGAAAATCCGGGGCGGTAGATCTTACGGAGGAGAAGAAGGTTGAGTTTGAGATGTTGGGGGTGGAGTGTTGGAAGGAGATGGAGAGGTTGAGAGGGGAGTGGGAGGCGAGGTTGGGCAGGGTTCTCGGGAGGCAGTGATGCTGACGACTGACGAGTGACGAGATGAAATTGGTTGGTGAAGAAGTAAACAACGTCCCTGCCTGCCCTGCTATGAGGCGAGCAAAGGAGCGAAATACCTATATACACAAGATAATGATGCTAATACCTCTAGATGTACCCAAAACCCGTAACAGGGGGTATAAACGACATTGTGCATCCGCGTACATATAAAACAAGCCATAACACATACACCATCATCCATCATGAATAACATAACGCCATTGCAGACCCCGACCCTCAGCAAGGAACAGATAAAATTCACGCCGTCCCCTCCACCGTCCCATCCCCTCTTCCATCATCCGACCCCACCCTCCTCAAATTAACCTTATCCCGCCGTCCAAACAACCCCAAACAAAGCGGCACCGGAACCGTCACCATAGCCACCACAGCATGAAACACCAACGCCCAATACATATTCCCATCCGGCCTCCCCTCTTTTCCCTTCTCCTCCTTCAACGCCCCCGAAACAATAATGAATACCCCGCCCAATACCTGCCCCCCGCTCCACGCCAACGTGCTCGTCACCTCGGGACTAATCGGATGCGTCACCTCCACCAGGAACTCCACCACCACCGGAACCAGACTGAAACTCGCCGCGCCTAGAATGGCCAAAATGACATAAGGACCAGCGAGGCCCGCAGAGTCGTGGGTGGACGGCATCCAAAGAAAGACAAGGTAGCAGATCCCAATCAGAGGGACGGCAATACGGATTGTAGTCAAAAACGCTTTCGTCCTGTCAATGATGGGCGAAGTGATGGCCGACACAAGCAGCCCAACAACGATGAGCACGGCCCCCGCGATGCCGGCTTCTTCGTCGGTGTAGCCATGGGGTTCCATGATTTGGTTGAGCAGCGAGGAGATGGAATTGAAAGTGCCGACGTAGACAGCAAAGGGGACGAAGAGGAGCCAGAATTCGGCGTGGCCAAGTAGGATCGCGGCCGAAATGCGGAGAGGTAATTTGGGCGTGGCGGAAGACGGGGCAGCGGGCGTCGGAGGCCGGGAGGGGATGAAGAAGGCGGGAACGGAGCAGATGGAGGAGATGATGGAGACGTAGAGAACCATTCTTGATATGTCGGATGGCTTGTCGACCCAGAATGGCACAATCAACTGGCCTAGCGCGGCGCCAAACGGGTTGGCGAGGGAAGTCAAGGCGGTGGCGGCGACGCGGCCGCGGTTGGTGAACCATAGATCCGAGTAGCGGGCGGGAGCGGCTAGGACAAAGGGTTGGGCGAGCCCGATGAGGATCTGGCCGAACATGACGATGCCGAAGTGGCCACCTGAAGGAGAGGAAGAGTGGGAGCCCCCGTAGCGGACCCAGTTGCCGATGAGCAGAAGGGCAGCGGCAGTGGTGATGGATAACTTGGGGCCGAGGTGCAGGACGTAGATGACCAGGGGCGTGATGAAGGCGAAGGCGAAGAGGAAGGCGGTGCTGAGCCAGTTGATGGTCGTTCCGGTGGTGCGGAAGTAGGCGGCGGCCTGGGAGGCAACGGGCGAGAAGGTGAGCCACTGGAGAAGGATTGTTAGTTTAGGTTTCTCGGTTTGGGTTGGAGTGACGAGTGATTTATCATCTGTGAAAGTTCTTGTTTTCTGTTCTCTCAGTGAGACATTGTGTTTTGTTTTCATGCAGAGCCATCTCCAAGGTAAACATGGCCAGAACTCGACAAATGAAATCATGCTGGACACGGAAAACTGAGATATGATCACAACAACACCACAACATCAAGTCCAGTCTAAGTGGCGCACACGAACAGACATTGGGAGTATTGATCAACTTTAAACGGCCCAATAACATCGTGGCGGGCGTTAGGAGGTGGCCGCCACCCGTTTGCGTAGGACGGGCGGCCCCAATCCCGTACACGAGATGCTTCGCTTGGTGCTCAAGGTACGAGGCGTGGCCGCCGTTGCAAAACGGGAGGGATCGATATGCGACCAACCAACCACGCCCACAGTTCAGAGGTGTCGGCTTCCATCTCGAACCACGGTAGAACCATTTTATCCCGAAGGTTGAAAGATAGTGCAAGACTGGACAGAAAAGGGGAAAAAAGTAGGCACTTACATCCCAGCTAACAATGATATTCAACAAGGTCAACTGCACCAGCCCGAACCACCTCCTCTTATAGACCTTATATACGACCGGTCTTCCCTCACAGTCTCTTTCCACTCTTTGTTCATTTTCGTCATGGTCACCCGCTCCGTCAATTCCAAGTCCGACGCCGCCACCACCACCGCCGGCCATCTCCCCGGCACTGTTAACGACTGTCCCCTCCGTAATGCTGATCCCCGTTCCGGCGCCGAGCGTGGTGGAGATCTCCGATCCCGATCCGGAGTCGGTGGTGGATGCTGACCATGATCCACTATTGCCACTGCTGCCGCCGCCGATTTTCTTTTCTGAGTCGCTTCTGCCGCCAGAGGATCCGTACGTTACTTCACTCCGTGTGGTACCCACCCATCGCCGTTTCTCATCGCCAATCATCGTTGTCGTCATCGTCGTCGTTGTGGTGTTGGTGTTGTAGTTGGTGTTGTTATTACTCGGACTCTCCTTCATTTCGACGATATTACTCCGTTTATCTGCCATGTCTCTGCTGCTGCTGCCGTGAGCATTTCCACTACTGCCTGTTCTACTACTGCTGAGATTGGTGGTGGTGGTTTCGGGAACTTTGGTGTGCGGATACGATAGGCGAGCTTGGTAATCGTCGTGGCTGTCGCGGTGCGAAGTGGTATGGTGAGAATAACGGCTGCTGTGGATGGTGGCCTGGTCCTGGTCATGATCGTGGTCGTCGTCGTCGTCCATTGTTGTGTCTCTTAATTCTTGCCAGTGTCTTTGTCCTTGTCCTTGGAGTGGGAGAGGTCGTCCTTAGGTACTACCTCCTTTGCTGGAGGATCGGAGGCTGCTCATTGCGTTTTGCGCTTGCGCCTTATGAAGCGGCTCTGCTCTGCTCTGCTCTTGTATTAACCGTCCGATTTCGGTTTTTTTTTTGCTTTCTTTTTTTGTTTTTGTCTTGATCCCTTTTCTTTCTTTTTCGAGGGGGTGGAGGCGGCTCTGTTGTTACTTGTTTGTGGCGTCCCCTTTCTGGATAAAGTTATCCCAAGACTTTGTGGCAGAAGTGTTTGATTCAGCTTGTTCGCATTCGGGTTCCAGTCGCGCTTCGGTCACGGTGTTCGGTATAAGCCCAAGGGATGTTTTGACTGTGTTTTGCTTTTATCTCTGTCCGAACGGAGCTTCGGTGCCAGTTGTGCGAGTGTAAGTCCGAGCAGTAGAAAGGTTCTCTGCCACCCGTCTGATGTAAATGCGAGCGAGCGCCAGAAGATGAGGAAGCTGTAAAGAGGGATGAGCGACACGTGTTCACATACTTGTATTCGTCGCAATTCATCAATCTGGTTGAAGACGATGAAAATGAATGAATGAATGAGTGAATGATGGAACCGAAGACGGGACAATTCACGGTCGCATACTACCACACCACACCTTCAAATCTTCCTTTCCAGTCGGACTTGCACGGGATCAAATGAAAGCCTGGCCTGCAAAGAAAGGAAAGACGGACGGGACGTTGGAGGACACGGGATATTGATCGCGCTGTGCACCCGCTCGCTGCATGGCATTGTCAGAATGGCACGCTATCACACTTTCGAAAATCTCGGCAATCCAAGAAAGGTTCAAGTTTCCCCCCAAAAACCGCTTTTCTGCGTCGCAACCTTCCCCATTTTCTTGGCGAGCGGCGCGGCCAAGCATATGATCATCGCCTTCTCTTCAACACAAATGGATATGATGGATCGTGATAGGTTCACTTTTGAAACCGAACCCGCTATCTTCATCTTCCCCAGGTATTCTACACTACTAGTGTACTATGTTTAATGTGTTACGTCTTCCATGGACCAGGAAGGCGGTCTGTTCTATTCTATTGCATCTTACTTCATCCCGAGTTTTCTACAAGTTTTTACCACTTCTCGTCATCCTTCCAGAAGTTATTCCCAAGAACTCCCCATTATTTTCAGCCCGCTTAGTTGCTCGAGAACAAGAAAGGGTCGAGCGGGAATCGGGTCACAATCTTACATTATTCCCCCCTCCCTCCCCCGCGCGTCATATCTCCGAGTCGCCTACCCACCACGATCTCAAAAAGTCACCCACCCACCCATCCAGTTTCAATCCTCACCCCCTCCTTGCTCCCTCCCTTGCTGCCACATGCCATCTTATCCCGTTGCGCAATGCGAAGCTATCACAAGGTCGCATCTGCGAACGCAAGCTAGAAAATAAGTTGAGTGCGTACACTCGACAATGAAGGGGTATGTTATCTCAGGACAAAACCACCCTCATCAGATCATCACCACCTATTTCGGTCATTTCGTTGCATGGCCCCATCGAGCAGCGACAGTAGGGACCTACAGTACGTATAGAAAAAACCACGCCAACCGTGTGTCTTGGGATTCAGAAGACCAAGATATCTCATGCATTCTCTCGCTTGCTTCCAAGTGTTCTTTGGCGTGTCATCATATCATAAGCGACTTAGAAATGCACAGGACATCGCCATTTTTGAGCGAATGGGTGAAATATGTCTTTTCATGTGAGGTGAGCGCAAAGTACGAGAAACAACACCAACCAAGAAAATGGGATAGAAGCAAAAAAAGTAAGGTCTATGGGGAATATTCACCTGTGTCTGCTTTTGAGAGTTAGGTGACGTCGGAAGGATTATAATACAGAAGAGACACGACAAGGCTGGGGAAGTAAAACCGAATCAGAGGGGACATGCCAAAACTATGGAAGAGAATGCCTCCCGTCATACTGCCTTGCTTCCCCCAGCCTTATATAGACGTTCGTTTGGAGAGGAGAGGGGAAAGGTCAAGTGTAAACACATTCATCGTGCAGCATGGATGTGTAACTCCTGGAAAGTCCCTTTGTCCTTTTCCTCCCCTTTTTCACCTGGCACTCTTTCGCTTTCCCGTCTCTGTTCGTATTCCATGATGGCTGCTGGATGATTTTGAACTTTTGGCGATTGGATCCTAATTGCTTTCTATTCCCGGTCGTCATCGTAACGATTAAACGTACGTTGGTTGTTTCCTTCGTGTATCTTGTCTATCGTGAAACGCCCCATTGTCTCCATGTAAAGAAATAGCTCCACCGGACTGCACCCTTGTTGTCGTTCGAGGGGTCGCTTTTTTTGTCATCGGGACTGCCGAGCGTTGGGGTCAAGAAAGTCGCAGGCGCATCAGGAATGCGAAACGACCGTCAAGGTAGATCGATCGCTTATTTGAGGGTGTTCCAGAGCTTGGGAGCGGCGCACTGGGTGGCGCAGTGGACGAGGTGGAAGACTGTTTGTTGTCGCGCAAAGTTCCTAGTGAGTAAGCCTGTCGTGTATGCCTGTGGGCGAGGAAGGGGGACTCTATAAACGTACACTCCTCAACGCAGTCCTCGTTGTTGTCAGCGCCAGCGCCGGTGACGCGGGCAGCGCACTCATCGTAATGGTGCTTGGCCGGAGCGCACTCCTTGGAGTTGCGGCACTCTGTAAGCAATAAGCCCCGTCAGCACATCATGTTCCGTCTCGAATTGGACTCCGTAGTAACGAATGGGAGTCGGAGAGCGTTGCGTTGGGATCAAAGGCTGGGAGAGATCGACGCAAGTTCGGAGGTTGCGTGTTATTGGCAGCTCTGTTGGTCGAGAGGCAGAGCAGTGCCGGAGGCTCGGCGCGGGAACGCAGGGCTCCTACAGGCGCAAGGTGCGTGGAGGTAGTGGTCGCGGAAGGCCGGATGGTAGTGGTGGTCGAGTGATATTGTATATGTGTTGGTCGGACATGGGATGGAAAAAAAGGACAGGTTACCCACCCTCTTCGAGAGTCTCCTTGGGGTCGACGATCTCATCCTCGTCCTCCTCCTCCTCCTCTTCCTCCTCAGCCTCCTCCTCGGGCTCTTCGGCGGCGGGGGCGGACTCCTCAGCCTTGGTCTCGGCGGTGGTCTCCTCAGTGCTCTCGGAAGCAGGGGCAGTCTACAGCATGAATTGACCGTCAGCATGCTTGTTCTTCCACTTCCCCGTGTACGTGTTCCTCCTCCATGGCTTATGACGCAAACAAAGCCCTCAACCACGGTATATCCCCCACCATGTCCTTGTTCCAACAGAATGTAGGGCAAAGCTTCAACCGTTGTGTTGATCAAGCCTCCCCACCTCCCTCTCGTCGTGATGGACTGTATCTCTGTCTAGAACTCGGGGACCCGGGGCATGGGGAAGGTTGGTAATGGTGATGATGGTGGTGGTGGTGGTGGTGGTGGTGATGGCATACCTCGGCCGGGGTATCGGCAGGGGCCTCGGCCTCGACGGTGGCCCACGGAGTGGCGGCGTCGATGAGGTCGGTGACAGCGTCCCAGAAGCCCATTTTGAAAATCGCGGGGGTGGCGGCGAGAAGAAGGTTGCGGTGGTCTTGTCGGTAGGTTGGTGATATGGCGCGACGTTGAGCAAGCTTTCTCGATCAAAAATCGGGTAAACCGAGCTTCTTGCTTGGCTCCAGTGCTCCCGGGTGGCCCCAGCTCCTGGTCCGAGCGCTGTCTCTTGCCGTCCCTCTTGCAATTGGCAATTGCTGATTGGCTCGTGCCTATTGAGAGACGCTCAAGCTGCCCCCGGGTAATCCCGCAGCAGCCATGGAAGGCGTCACGTGCAATCACATCTACTATGCAGTACACTATTGTGCTCTCGAAACTTTGGAAGCTCGTCAGGGTCAGTGCGAGTTCGAGACGCAACTGTGGCTTATGTCTGGACTCGGCTGTCGTGAGACGAGTTCATGTCCCTATCACAGCCCCCACGCCGCCGCCGCTATTGACCACTTTCCCGACTGACGGGCTTACTTACTGAATAGGCAGTCACCGGTCAGACCCAAGTTGCGTGCTTTCTGACGGCTTACCAACACGGGACACAACAACGAACAAGCCATGTATCTCGGTATCGCTGGCGTTGATGTCGTTACTAGCCCTCTCATCATCAATACGTGGCAGGCAGCCGCATTCTATTTCTGTCCGGTTATATACTTCCGAAGAGCGAGACATTGACAAGGGTATATTTCAAGGTTTGGGCCAATGGATATTTGACAAGCTAAATATTGGCTATACAATGCTGCAATGAGAAACCGGTTTGCCTCCATTTGGTACTGTACTGACTACTGACATCCATCCACTTGGGAACGGCGGCAAGTCCGACCAATCACCGTGTGTTTCTGACGTTATAATTCGTTTTACTCGAAATCCTCTTTTGACATCACTTGTATAAAAAAAAAATTAAAAAATAAAAATAAATAAAAAAAAAGACCGACGCTAAAATGATCGCACAGACGCCTGTCACTAGTAGTCGTATGATGTGCATGTTTTTCTTGTTGATCGGCGGCATTGAAAAAAATAAAAAATAAAAAAAATAGTCAACTCGGATATTCGAATGTTTGCCTAATTCCGGGCAGCGCTGAAGGCGGTTACTTTGTGTCTCCGGGCCAAGCCACATCCTGAACGCAATCTTGACAAGAAAGTCGGGCATTTACGCCGTGTAGTCCGGAGGTGGCTCATCCGGGCCAGGCTGGGGCACTTGGTTCCGATCGCTCGTCACGTCCCCAGACGGTCCAGACGCAGGTGTGCTCGAGGAAGGTCGACAAGCTTGAGCCTCATCGTAGGGTGGTGGGGGCTCGAGGTTTTGCCCGGGGGTCAGTCCAAGGCTTTGGGCGTGGAGTAGTCGGTCCCGCAGCCACTCATACTTTGCTTGGAAGTCGCTGTGTCCGCCATCCTTGAAGGTCAACTTGCACTCGATCCGAGGGATCTCCGGCGGTACGCCCCCGTTTGGAATAGGTCTGACTATAGCTGTCCAGCTCCAAGGCCCGATCCAGGACGAGTTGATGCGGACATCGCTAAAGTTTAAGGGAGGCGCAAAGAAAGATCGAAAAGCCTCGGTCGACCTGGCTGGAAGGTAGATGATCTAGACACTAGTTAGACTGCAACATGACCATGTCGTACAAAGAAATCAAAGCCGAGCTCACCCTCTCATTGGTGATGTATGCAATGCCATTGTCGCTCTTGACAGAGAAAGGCTCTGCTACCTGCAGCTCCTTGGGGACCGAGAGCTCAAGGCCGACTCGCGGCTTGGAGGTAAGGAGAATCTTTTCTCCAGGTAGTTTCTGGATCTGCCCATCACGGGTCAACATGACCCAGCTTTCTTTCTCGTCAGTAATCGAATGCTGAGCAAGCGTCCATCTGTGCGCCTCGACCAGGAATTGGTCGGCCATGATGCCTTGGACGGGACGGGGAGGTGGGGCCGGGTTGGGTGGTATCTGTAACAGGATCCCGTAATTGGGATTATATGATGACGGGAAGTAAAAGAGGGGACAAGGACACTCGCAACGTGAGCCCTGGGGAAGATGATGCAGAGTTGCCTTGCCAAAGCGTCACGGGAGAACAGAGAACAGCAGATGTAGACTTACTTTATTGACATGATGAGAGACTGACTGATCCGCTACCGAATGGTCCGCTAGGTACCGTCTTGTCCTGTCCCGCGCGCCCGGAAAGCTCCCAGATCTTCTACGGAGCTTCTCGATTCGTGGTATGGGTGCTAGTATTAGCACGCAAGGGTATGGTGGGTATTAGCCGTCCAGGGTCAAAGAGCGAGGCCAGGAAGTAACCTGTTCACCCACAGCGGCACGGCCTGCGTCAAGATGAGATGGGAGATCTGGCAAGTCTCAGTCCAGGGGTCAAGGAAGCTGTTGTATCTAGAGTGGGCCGACTGTTTGCTAATCCGGTCGTCGTAACTGACAGCCTGCGAACCTGCACAGTGTCGGTCTGTTAGCCTCTATCACTTTCAGAATGTTTCAACTTGAACGGGCTGCCAGCCGAGGCAAGTGAGCGTGGTTGGCTTGCCATCCAGCTTGAACACTCCAGCCCGGAGAACACCAAGCATGGGAATGGGCATGCGGTAGTGTAGCCAGTAGCGTGTAATAGCCCTTGTAGACAGGCAGCCTCTAGGCCAGCCGAGCGGCCAGGCCAAGGGACTAAATGGAGACGGGGGATGGGTCATGGGCAAGGCAAAGCAGATGAGAACCAAGACGGGGACCCATATCAAGAGGAGGGCCGAACTGGGTGTCTGAGCGGCCAGAGCTCCAACCAATGGGACCCTAGTTCTAGGACGCCCAAGTAGTTCCAGAATCAGGACGGGGAGGCTCTAACCAGTGGTCGGTCTCGGCAGATAGAGGCAGGAAGGAATATAAACATGCTCAGTCACCCTTTTCCAGAAGCAGAAACTGACAAGCGAGAGAGAGGCCCGGGGCCGTGGGTGCTGGACACTTGGGCAATCGAGATGTGTTGCATATCGAGCTGCAAGATGGAAACAGAGCGAGAGACACTGGAGGAGTAAGAGCGAATGAGGAGCTACACGGGTACGTGGAGAGTCGTGGTATGAGCTGTGAGACTGTGGATGGATGCCATGGGGACGCCGTCCAGGTTCAAGGGTCGACCGACGATTGGGACAAAGTGATAAATGAGGCATACATAGTGTACAGGGTATATCGGATGTAGTGTACACCGTCCAAGGCTCTGTTCTAGACGCACTTCCTTTTCGACTAATTAACTGCTTGGTGGCCCGGGTATGGCGAGTATTTCCTTTGGGTAGGTGTTGATGCTGGCTTGAGGTTGGGGGAGGGGAGCGGGCAACTGGCATGTAACAACAAAACCAAACTAACCTTTGACGTTGTTAACAAGATAAGCAGTCGTCTATGGTGGGAAAAACGCCCAGGGTTGTTGGTAGTGGTTAGATTTCTGACAGCAGATGGGTGGTCTTGGTTGGATGTTTTTGATTATCGAGATGGGTGGATGGTGGTGAATGAGGTGTGGTTCTAGGAGAGAACTCTGATGCAGAGGGGTACATTTGCACCGCAGTCAGTGAGTGGCATTCATGGGGGGGTGGGATTAAACCGGGGTACGAATTAAATGGGATGGACTACACCAACTACTAATATGGGGAGTGGAGCCAGCGGACTCGGCACTGCCCGCCAAGGAATATTGTTAATACTACTACGCAGTACATACCTGTTAGAGGTACATACACTACCGCTGTTAATCTGCAAAGGTCGAAAACTTCCACCCACTCACCCCAACAACGGACCCCGCACGTGAGTTTGTCCATCGTGACTGCCCTCGTGAACCAGAAGACGGGAGCCTTCCAGGTGAATGACCATGAGGGCAGAGACCTGAAGGCGGCAATGGGCAGAATTTAGTCTCACACACACACACACACACGCACACGCACACACAGCTTGAAAAATGGTGGCTCTCCTCGTCCAAGGACTGAACTCAACACTCAAATCCGTCTCTCCACGGCGTCGCGACCCACAACTCCAACCTACCCACAATCCGGGCATCTTGTCGAATTTCCACTGATCTCATTTCGGAGTCCATCCATCCCATTCCTCACATCGTCTTCCTGTACCTGCAGATCGCCGTCCAGTCCATACGCACTCCTCTTAGCGTCCAGAATCTAATCTACCATCTGCCCCCTTTGGTCGCCTCAAGAGCCAGTTGCTTATGTATACCACAGGGCAAGCACAACAAGGATACGGCTTGTACAGGTCCTCCGTGGGTACAGCCTTGTCCCCACCGGATCGAATTGCGCTTCGAGTGCATACGTCCATGTGTCCGTTGCCTTCCACAAAGGCACTGTTGCCAGGCCCGGGGTTGATGTGAGAGCGGGAGAACGGAAAGCCATGCTCACCATGCATGGGAGACGCTACACGTGTACAACTAAGCCTTTCAGCCTCCTTGTAGCGCTTCTGGTAGTAAAGCGACTGGACATGCCCTCGCTGGCCCACGTCGGGTCGGCAAAGCGCACCGATACACATCCTCGCCATCACGGCACAATATTCATCATTGGCTCCCATGTACACTACTGGAGCAGCCAGGGGTGGACAAGCACTGCTACTACGAAAAAAACGTACATACACTACATACCAGCGTGTCGGCTTCTTTCGGCCCCTCCCAGAATGCGTCTCCCACAGTTTGCATGAGGCCAGTGGACTCTTACCTCAACCACCACGGGCCTATTCCGAACTCAGCTTCCTCACCGCCCCATGCACTCCATGTGTACTGCCTAGTGTACCTCTGCGGCAGGGCGGCGAGGGGAAACAACCCGTGGCAGAAATTTCAGAAAAGAATTGTCATTGGCGAGAAATCATATCCAATACCGGGTACAGCCGTCATGCCGCCTTGACGTGGGGCAGTTTGAACCACTCCCACTCTTGCTCTGGAAAAAAGCGATATATCGTTGAGAAAACATCAACACTCACAAGGTACCCAGAAGTCTAGACCGGTTTGACCAGTAGTCCGGGCTACAAAGGGGGTCAGGATACGGGCGCCGCCTTGAAACCGCCTAAACGTTGTTGCGTTACGGCTTCCGCCACTCGTGGAATCAAGTATCACCGGCCTTTCAGCGAGTGGAATGAGGGCGTCAGCTTTCCGCACATTGACATCATGTGACGGTAGTGGCTTTGTACCACGCCATTCCAGACCAGCCTTTGTTCCTTCCTACAGATTTCCCCGCGGCAATGTTGACGGAGCTTAGTATCAACCCTTACATCGAGGAAGGCTAGACTGCGTTATCACTGGTGTCAACGACACACTATCGTTTCTTAGTTTTGCCATCGCATGCATGTCTTCCCCCCACGCAAAATCATCGATGCGTCAGCTTTCCTACGCTCTGAATTTGGTATCTTCACTAATGAATCCCAACCCAGCCCAAGTGGGTAAGACTTCCTGGCTCGCCGGGTTCGAGACAGGCCGCAGCCGGACCTCTTAGCTATATCGTGTGCCTCTGCAGTTTCTTCTCTACATATCTGTTGACAAAGGCTCGAAATATAGTGGGTCCATATCCACCTCTCGGCTTTACTTCCGAAGGAGTGCGTCGAGGGTCCTGATATCTGCAAATCCTGTAACACCATGTCCTTCAAGGACTCGCGGTGAAGTTTTTGCCGTATACGGAACACTCAAGCTTTTTGTTTTGGTGGTCCTACGCATGTACACATCTGGTCTCTTTTGTCATTCATGATGACCAGCCGCGAGTGGTGTAATCACGAACAGCCACTTGCTGTAGGCCTAGGACGTGGGTCTCAAATCATCCTTCCATGTATGTCACTTTCTCATCAGATATCTACTATACAGATGGGCGACAGAGCCGACGAGGTCTAGATCCAACATGTAATGCCAATCCATCCCACGAAATTACAACGTGTCGAATCAACAGATATTCACCCAGAGCCGAGGCCTTGAGCAAGGCCTGAGGTGTTTGAATTCACTTCACATCACGTTTGGAACTATTGCTACGAAATAGATTTCCCACGACAGAGTATGAGTGGCCTTTACTGTGCTAGGAGCATCCCATTTAGATGTGGGATACATCTTTACCCCGAAATAATTCGCTCCGCGCTAAAGAATTCAAGGGACCAGTATCAAAACCTGGTAACCTCCTCGACGACAGATTTACTGTTACATTCACATCCAGAGGCGAGTTACCACCAAGGTAACATAATCGCATTGGGCAAGAACCCTATCCAAATGTGAACCTAAAAATCTCATCACGCCCGGAACCGCACTACTTACACCCAGACATTGAAGGAGTGTCCAGCAGTTTCATCACGCCTGAAGGCCATTGCAATTTTGAGTTGAGACGTCCTTCCTGTCGCGGAAGTAACCTGGCCCAGATCTTCTCTCATCGCCTCTTCCCACTCATTAGCACCCCCTTCACCACACAAAGCAGCCAAAATCCATCACAATCCAGGGGGGGGTGCCTGAGTCTCGTCGAAAACAATGCAGTTTAAGTGACAGACTGTGAGTGATGCCTGTATCTACTATTTAAGCCCGACAAGCATGATTAGACAGGAACGGCAGATCGGCACAATCCCATTACTCCGATTTTCCGCCCGTCATTCGCTCTTTTTCGGTGAAACCGCCACACGTCACACGTGCATGCATCCCTTCCAGAATGCGTCGCGGACCATACAAGTACAGTCTGGTACTAGGATTTCTTTCTCGACATAGACCCCATATTGTTCGCGTATCGCTGACAGTCAGTTCAGGGAAGGACATCGACCAACAGCTGCGAACTATTGAGATGATCCTCTCGCACTCCGCTTTCTCAAAACAAGATCAGTGATTTCAGCCCTGTTGCAACCAATCTACACAGCCAATGGCCTCATTTTCAAGACTACTACATAGGACATTCCTTCCTCATGGAAATCATGTCTGCAGAGATATGGCTGGGTTCAGTAGCCGATCTGGGATCATCACGGACATGGCTCAGCAAACTTTCGTAAAGTTGTCCAAGCCCATCAAATTCCCAACATATGTGAACAACAGGATCAGAACAGGACCTTGCCTCCCCGTTTATACGCGAAATTAGATGAATGTAAAATTAAGAACTAGTATTCAGTACAACGTGGGCGGCCTGCCTAAATTCGCGGCTGGTGGGCAGATGACAAAAGACCACAGCGATGTGAGGGGAAATGTCCATTTCAGTTCATTTCCCATGGTTTGCCTTTTCACTTTTCGTTCATCGTTCACAGAGAGGAACGAACAGTGGGCGTAGTCAATGTACGGAACTCCCACCGAGATTGCTATGGATTCCCGTCGTTTCTTAGGAAATCCACACCGCTCAAGCACCTAGCTAGATGCTGCTAATCCCCTCCCCAGCTAGACCTATCGCTTCGTTTCCCTTTTCCGCCTTGTTCTAGCACGTTCTATTGCGGAGGATCACACCTCCGTAAGTCATCGACACATGGATCAAGAGAAGTCGTTGCTTTTGCTCGTATGTCCGATCTCTGTTCTATTGTCTTTTTGCCACGCATCACGAATTAGATTTTCCATTTCACTGGTAACCAATTCTCACATATCATTGGATAGTACAGTTCTACGGATGATAGTTCATTCTTTTACATTATTTCTCTGGCTCTCTGCTTTTGAACCGACCCTTTTAATCACCTTCACGGGCACCAGTCCACTCCCTACAAAGTCACGAGATAACGTTTTGATGTTGCATTAGATTGAGTCTCATTATACTCTAAAGTATGGTGACTGAGTGGCGACCTCTTGATCGTGGAAAAGAAAAGGAGCATTCGTTCATTTATGATAGCAGGACAGACAGAGACAAGAAACAGCCCCCCTCATAATCTACTACTAGTACTTCACACATCCCCTTCAGCGTCCTGCTTGCTCTCTTGTTCACCACATCTTCCCGCCTACCTGACTTGCTTGCCATATTCAACTCCCGTCTTTACCATCCTATCCACAACCAAGGGCAAAAAGTCAGACCTAAGATGTGTAACCGACCGACCAACCAACCAACCAATGGCTTGCTTATACGCACAAGCGAGCGATGTGTATAGGTAGTACACATAAGCTTTCAAGCCTATCCAAGTGGAAAAATGGATAGAAAAAAAAAGACGCCATACCCAGATCGTTCCCCTAGAGGAAGGGAAACCAGAGGAGCGAAAGAAAAAGAAAAGGAAACAAAACTAAACAATGCTCCAAAGCGCAATGCCGAGATGGTACGCACAAAAAAAAAAAAAAGAAAAAAAAAAAAAAAAAAAAAAAAAAGAAAGCTCCCATGCACCTTCAAATGCAACCAGCCAGAGAACTATGAAGAGGCTAAACCCCAGGAAATGGAAAAGGAAGAGTAAACAAACCGGAACAGCGAACAATGCCAGACGAAAAAGAAAGAAAAAAATGGAAAAGAACTCGAGAAAAAAAAAAAAAAAAATGCCATTTCGTTCTTTCCCCCTCTGATCTCGCCCTCCCTCCCTCTCTCCCTTCTCCTTGTCCTCATTCTCTTCAAGGGCTCTCAACAAGAAGCAAGGACTAATCGATCAGAAAGTACTAGCCCTTGTTTCTATCCTTCATCAAACCCCCCCCTCCCCATTGCGATCCTGCTTGATTCGGTCCGGCGGGTGAAGACACCATAACATAACAGACAAAGTCGATACAGGCTAGTAGACTAGATCATACAAAGCTCAATAAACCCCGTCAACATGTGCAAAGCCAGTAGTTGGGTATCCATACCCCCCTACCCCCTCTAGTCGACAACTAGTGTATTCAACGGTCATGAACCTTCCGGGCAAGCATCCATCCATCCGCCCGCCGGCCGTCGAAAAGGGAAAAAAGGCCAAAGAAAGCCACATGAACCCAACCCAAC